TATTTAAAAAGTACAAATGTGTCAAAAAAATCGTAAATATATTGTCAATTAGGAGGATATGAGAAATCACTTACAAATTCCTAATACCGCAATAGTGCAAATACACTATAAAAAGATACAATCACTTGCAAATTTAAGCAAATCATTAGTGTTGAATCAAAATAATACAGAAGTATTTAGAGGTCGTGAAGAAACTTAACGAATATTAAGAAAACAAAGAATCAATTAGAGATCATTAGCAATTGATCTGGATAATATATTTGCATTAAGGTGAGCATATATTTTGAATCACTAGCAGATTTAAATAAATCATTATAAATTGATCCTGATAATATTCATATTAGGAAGCCGTGAAGAAACTTATTGTATAATATTGTGGAAAAACTTTTCATATGATGAAAAAATATGATCGCTCTTCGATTTTTAAATAAATAATGCATTTACACTAAGATAATATAGAACAACTAAGAATCACTTGCAGCTTTAGATAAATCATTAAAAATTGAACGAAATAATCTATTTGCATTAAATGAATGTGAATGGAATTGTAGTATAATTAAATAATCAACAATCAATCTTTATCAGTTGTTCTAGAATTAAGAACAGCTATAAATACTTATATGCTATGTTATGTATAATAATATATAGTTGACTAAGGTTAATTAAAAATATCAACTTAACTAAGCTTAACTACAAATACTCATACAAATTAATTTTTTTTTTAATTTAGATTTCTTTAATGAATCTATATCCTGGTAAAAATAGTGTTATTATTTTAGACAATGCAACAATTCACCATGATGAAGAGCTAGTTGAAACAATAAGAGGGTTAGGATGTTGAATTGAATTTCTTCTGCCTTATTCTCCAGATTTTAATCTGATAAAGACTGTATTTAGTACTATAAAAAGTTGAATTAGACATAATAGGGATTCTATGAGTTCATGTAATGATTCTATTTATATGATAATGATAGCATGTTCCCAAATTACAGGCAAGATAGCAAAAGAATTCTTTAAAGGGTCTATATATATGTAATTATATAATAATATTATTATTGTTAGCTATTAAATGCCTGATTTGAATTATAAATTTTAAAATAAATAAATGCTATTCAACAATTTTGCCTAATATTGTGTGAAATAAGATGAAGCTTATAGAACATATAATAATAGCTGATGCTATCAAGCTAAAACGAGTAACAATTATTATCAAAAATCTTCTGATAAGACCAAAAGTATTTATTAATATAAATTGCCATATAGAGTTACAATTGTTACATTAATTTTTTGTTATAGCGATAGCTTTAATTGTTATATCATTTTCCATAATAGGTTGGATATATAATTATGTTTTTTGGTCATCATAACTAGTTCTTATCTAAACCAGAATATGTACGTACATATTGTAACTATATAAATACAATTCTTTTGGCTAATAAAATAGGGAAGAAGCATATAAAATATTAATTCTGAACCCCTAATAAAACATCTAGCAAATTGAAAAGAGTGTAAAAATAGAGGGTGTAGTTGCGAATATAAAATAAATAATGATAGAAAAAAGATAAAGGTGAGTGGTGGTTAGTAACTGTAAAATGCACAAACAAATTGAGAAAGTTAATAATTAATTTTATTAACTTACTTATTTGCATTACTCAACAAAAATTTTTTTGATATTTGATTGCATTAGCACAGTAATCACATTGATCAAATAGAGTAGTTTAGTTAGGATGAATGTAATGTTATATTGTAGTATTTGTTATCTCAATCCCAAAATATTTTTGACTTCTTCAACATACAGTAATTATTATTATTGTGCATATATAATGAGTATTTATGATAATAAAAAATCTTGTCATTTTCAGCTATTTTTGAAAACGGCAATAATTTAATCAGGCAAGTATATCCAGAAAAAACCTAATATCCAGCAGCTTTAAAAACTTTATTGAAATTAAAAGTTGATTTCTAATAGTATGCGATATATAAAAAAAAAATTTCATTTATATATTAAGTCTAATAAATTCTAATGAAATATCTATATTAATATAATATATTAATATAATTGTATAGTATTCCTGGGTTGTAACTAACTTTTTTGATAAAGCCAGAAACTTCTTTGATGAATTCATTGAAACAATCTCCAGACTATTGAAATGTGTTCATCTTGTTAATAGCAACAATAAGTTATTTAACATCAAGTGTATAAGCCAAAAGAGCAAGTTTATAAGTTTGATCATCTTTGGAAATAGAAGCTTTATTAGTATTACCTTTAATATTTTCTAGCTTCTTGTTTTATATTTATACGGCATCTAATCTTAGTTACACCTAATTCAATTAGTTGATCATCCGTTAACTCTTTTATACCATTTACTATAATCCCTTGCTCTTCAAAAGATTTTTCTAAAGTGGTATATATTCCTTTACAACAACGCCAAAGCATAGGATCGATTTTACTGTTATATGATTTCCAGACCAGTGATCTATGTAATACAAATTGATATATACATGGTATATATGTAGCATTTAAAATATACAGATATATTATAAATCAGATAACACATACTAATATACAAATTTGGAATTTTAATCTTATATTTAAAAAAATTATATGTATAATAGCTTTTTTATTAATTTTATTATTCAATTATATGTATATGTGATTTTTAACTTTTTAAGAAATACAGTATGTATTGATTAAAAACCTAAATTGTGCATTTAACCTGTAATTATTTGAGTAATAAAATTTTATTTGTAAGCTAAAACCCTATATTAGTTTAAAAAAATTATACGTATAATAGCTTTGTTCATTAATTTTATTATTCAATTATATGTACATACGATTTTTGACTTTTTAAGAAATACAGTATATATTGATTAAAAACCTAAATTGCGCATTAAAACTGTAATTATTTGAGTAATAAAATTTTATTTGTAAGCTAAAACCCTATACACGTCACTCTTGATATAACGTAGTACCTCAGGCATATAGTGAGGAATTTTTTAAAACCTGCTTTATCGTGAGCTTTATTAGTAAATCTATTATATCAAGTAGTATTTATTATGATGTGGATCTGAATCTTGATCCATTATATCGAGATTTTACTTAATATCTGTTATATCAAGAGTCCATTATATCGAGAGTAACATGTATTAGTTTTTTGAATGTCACAAATATTTATTAAGTTATGCGAATAAAGTAAAAATATAACGAATTATAATTAATCTTCAAATCAAATTGCAAATATAAAAACTTGGTTAAATTACCAAATCATTTTTAAGTTAGTACAACTAACCCAAATCAATTAAAACAACTCTCAAGATTCAGATTGTAAATTACTATAATATATACACATGAAACAAAATTACATTAATAAATTTCTTTATTTTATTTCATAATATTTAAACCTTGTTCACTAAATATTGCGGCTGAAGCTAAAAATTAGAGGCATTAATTTAAAAATATAAACCCTACTAAATTCACTTATATTCTTCTATTATCAAACTAACTCTAAATCCTAACCTAATTGTAAAAAAAAAAAAAAAGCCAAAAAAATTCACCCAAAATTTTCATATTAAAATGTTTAAAATTTCTGATTTCAGCATTTTCAGCTTTAGCCATGGCAATAAATAAATCGTTATTTCTGTTTCATGTATACTTCAACCTTGTTCAAATTAATAATTGAATAGTTAGATTATTATTTTATTTAATACAATTTTCAACTATGTTTAATTAACTTATGATTCTTGTTTCATATACATTTGTTTATATTTAAATCAACAAACAAAAAACTATAGAATCATAAATAAACTAAAACTTACTAAACATATTCGAGATTTGTGCATGTCAGAATTCTATAATAAAACCGGTTTTGTTTTTTTAAAAAAAAAAAAAATTATCTCTTCTAATTTATCTCTAAAAAAAAAAAAAAAAAATCTATTAAAACAGTCACCTCAACGTTTAGTTATTTAAAGAGAGATTTTTAATATTAGTATTTTTTTCAAAATAAGCTTGATTAAAATTTAGTTCTAATTACTTGCCAATTATTAAGTATCCAAAAACTTAAATAAAATAAATTCTTTTGCTCAGAAATTCACAAAGCCTTTTCTATTATAATATTTATTAATTGCAATGCCTAGCTGCAGTTTTTGTTCTGGCATTCTTCCCTCTGATGCATTCATATACAAAGGCAAAGCTTACAAGACTTGTAATCATTGTAGAATCTCAAAAGCTGATAACAAAACTGCCAAACAAAGTGAATTAGTTGGTGATTCTAATATTGAACCTACAATTGAACTAATTTCTTTTCAAGAAATTAGCAAATACATCACCAAAGCAATTGATAATTTAGAATACAATGCTGAATTTTCTCTTTCTTTTTGTGTTCAACTTGATGAGGATACTCTTGATAACATTGAAACAGATGTTAGAATTATAGCTAAATTAATAATAGATGAGATAGAGGAAAGAGATAGCTATAACTAGACGTATATAATAAAAATATATAAATAATAATATAATTATCCCTCTGGCCAACCTATTCTTATAATGCTTTTCATATGCTAGACTTATTTTTACTAATATATGTTATGAAAGTTTTTCTACTATGCTTCGCTCTTTAAAATAAAAGACTATAAAAAAAAAAGGTTTTTAGATGAAGTACATAAAAAGTGTATAATGTAAAGAATAAATCAGTTATATACTATGTTGTTAGATCTAAGAAAATTTTGCAGTAAAGTACAATCAACGTAATTAGTTACTTACACGGTTGATTGTCAATTATACTTTACTACAAAATTCTGCTTATACCCAACTGCCCAGAATATAACTATTACTTATATAATAATTAATTAATTGCGTATTTGTAAATATAGAGCTACAACAGTACCAAACCTTTCTGCTCGTTACTATGGTGTTGGAAATGCTTATTTTGCATATTCTTAAAGTTATAAACTTATGCGTGAATACAAAAATTCTAATTGTGAGAGAATCGTTCGTTATAATTGTAATGGTA